CGGGCCCACGGAGGCGGCGGGCGCCGTGTGCGGCGCCGGGCTGGCCGAGGAGGCGCGCGGCGAGGGACTCGACCCGCACGCCTTCCTCGGCAACAACGACTCCTACTCCTTCTTCCGGCGGCTCCGGCACGGCCGGCACCTCCTGGTGACCGGCTTGACGGGCACCAACGTCATGGACATCCACGTGGTCCTCGTTAGAGCCAAGGAGAGGTCCTGAGCGCTCCCTCCGCAGGCAGCTGGGACCGAGGGCAAACGGGGGCATTAACACTGGAGACAAATGTGAACCGCTCACATTAGGGCTAGCTGTCGAGGGCGCTAATAAAGACRCTGCTAATTAGACACGCGAGGAGATGTCGCCAGCAAAAGCATGGGGAAGACTGTGACACTTCGCTTTTAGGGCTCCAGAGTCCCCACGGAGGCCACCAACGGGGCGGCCAGCTCCAACCCAGCGCCAGGTCCCTGGGATGAGGGCGCCCGCCCGAGCTGGCTCCGAAGGGRGAGCTTCGGCCGGTGGCACTTACCTGGAATGGCCCCGTTCGCTCCGCGCCGGGGCAGCCTCTCCAACGTGCAGCGAGTCCCCGCTGCGCCCASGGACGTCCCCGCCCCGCGCTTGGCTCTGGAGCCCTTCGGATCTGGAAAAGGAAGGGATAAAAGGCCTCTCCGGGGCAGGCAGGCGGGAGGCAGCGCCGTGGGCTCCAGGGAAGCCCAGGTGACACAGGGGACAGGACGGTGACCAAACGGCACCAATGGCAGGAGAAGTCACCACATTATTAAGAGCGCAAACTACAGGCAGTGAATTAAACACTCCGGCCGCTGCCCTTGGCTCTGCTCCTGCCTCTAGGAAGCATKAATATCCCGCCCGTTAGCACTTCATTAAGGATCCAATAATGATAAACGGGCTTTATTTTGTGCCTGATTAAGGGCTAACATTTCCCCAGGCACTAAGGGGGCCCTGGCTGCACAACGCAGAGGGAAGAACCTCCGCTGGGTGATTCCCACCGTTTCTCCTAGCGGGACCCGTTCCCTGGAAAGGTCGGAGGCTCCCAATGCTCACGGCTCCTGCGGCTGCTTCCCGCCGCTCCGATGCGGGACGACGGCTCCGGGAAGGCGSCTGGAAGCGGGGACGGGGCAGCGGGCGCTCTCGGCTGCAGGGCGCCGGCGTTTTGCACGGCTTCAATCCCTATATGAAGTGCGTGACGTAGAATCACATAGGAATAAAAAGCCATACAAGACGGCAGGCGGCGGCGCTCCCGCTGCTCCTCGGCGCGTCCGAGCCCTGCGCGGGACGGAGAAGAGAGGCGGCATYGCGGCCACGACGGCGCCTTGGGCACCCCCGGGAGGCTCCGGGAAAAGCACGGTGCTCCCGGGACCCGCCGCCACCCCAGGAGGCTCCAGGAAAACCAAGGGATCCGGGGTGTTGAGGGACACCCGGGTGACAAGGGACGCCCGGATCCCGGCGGCGCGGGGAGGCTGGCGGAGAGCAGGGAGAGCTCACRGAGGGTTGGGATATTCCCAGCGGGAACGCTTAGGATCCCAGCTTAGCCATCACCGGGAGTATCTCCAGGGTGAGCCCAGGATGCTCCCGCTGCTCCAGGGAAACCAGCGCCAGGAAAAGCAGCCCCCGGTTCCCACCACCCTGCAAAAGCCCCGGGATGCCCCCAGGGCACCAATTCCTTGGTGGCTTCTTAAGCCCCTCCATAAAARCAAAACGGGAAACAAACCCAGAACCCGGCAATTAAGGGATTGTTGCCGGATGAACTGCAAGGCAAGGTGCATTTCTGAATCACCGTACGGAGCTCGGAGAACACCGGGAGCGTCGGAGCAATTATTCTCCAGGAGCGCGTGAATCATTAGGTGTAATTGCCCTAATAAATAAAGGCGAGATGAGGGGAGGCTGCAGCCGACGCGGCAGYGAGCGCAGAGCGAGCGGAGGGACACGGGAGAAGCCTTTCCTGCCCCAAACGGCCTCTCCCTCCAAAGCGTCACCTTGCGGCACCCACTACTCCATCCGCATGGAAACATTCCAGGTTTTTCCCTGGGAAAACCCTCAATAGAATCCCCCCCCCGCCCCGGCGCAAGCTCCATGTTGACATTTGGAGAGGAAGCAGGAATTTTCTCCTCCGCTTAAAATGTCATCACAGCCGCTGGCTGGGAAAGGAGCCCCAGCCACAACGGCGGCGTCAGGGGAAACACGGGCTTAAAGGCAAAAAGAACCGCCCCAAAAAACGGGGAATGAAAAGTTTCCAGCCAAAGCGAGATTGCTTGCAGGAAAATCAGTATTTCTGAAGGAAAACAAACCCCAAAAGCAGGTAAATTGGGAGCCCTTTGGCTCAGTTTCGCCCCGGTGCCCTGCGCCATCCCGGAGCAACCGGCAATTCCCAGTGAGCCCAGCACAGCATCCTCCTTCCCACGCATCCCGGGCCCCGGCACACTGGGCTCCAGAGCCGGAGAGCTCCCATGGGAATGTTGCCGGTGCCGCAGGCTCTTCGGAGCCATCCAGGACGGACTCCRCATCCCCTGGGGCTCCCGGCGGCCTCTGGAGGGAGAGCGGAACCAGCTCCGGCCCCAGGGGAATTCGGGATCGGCACCGGGGCTGAGCCGGTGGCCACGTGCGCGCAGGGGGACGAGGGGACAGGGGCTGGTCCCCATGCGCCCCATAACCGCACCGGGGCGCCCGGCGGCACCACAGGCGCTCGGCACGGGCACCAGCCCCGGCGGCAACAACGTRTCCCGGCCCCTCTTTGTCTGCGGGATAATAGCAGCCGGCAGCGCCGCAGGGGACAAAAGCAAGTGACACTGGAGCGGAGGCGCCGCCAGGTCCCAGCTCCCACCGCACGAACCCGCGCGCTGCCCGCTCCGACGCTGCGGGTGCCTCCGGACCGGGATCGGAGCCAGGAGGTGCTGGGGGACCGTCCACGGCAACCGGGTCTGCAGGAATTAGCKGGGCAAAGAGGGCCGGGGAAGGGGCCGAGCAGTCCCGCTGTCCCCCACRCGAGCCCTGCCATTGGCCGCGACGCATCCGGCCTGTGGAAAAACAGCTGGGGAGAAGGGGAATCCTGGCAGGGATAAGAGCGAGGCCGGGCGGGCACCAGGGCAAAGCCGCCCTCCTTCCCGYGGGCATCTCCCCGGCAGGACGGGATGGCCGGGGCTGCGGGCRCCCTGCTGCCGCTGTCCTGCCCGGCGGCACCGCCGGGACGCCCGCCCAGCCCGCCTTTATTGCGGGAACCTTTGCTTCCCGGACCGGGAGCCATTCCYGGCCAGGAGCCGCTCCAAGGGGCCTTGCCAGGACGAGGCCGCTGTCCGCCGAGGCCGCTGCCTCCCTTTGCTCCCTGGGGAGCAACACGCTGCGCTCACCTTGGAGCCCCCCAGGCTGTCCCCACTTTCCCCATCCCAGTTTCCTGCAGCCTATCCCGCTGCTCGACAAGGACCCACAGTGACCCCTCGTGCAGCCCGCGGGGCCACTCGCAAGGTGCCAGGGCAATCCCAGCGCCAGCCTCCGTATCAGATGGAGATAAGGACACAAGCTCCTGGACAGAGACGAGCGGCCGGATTCTGCACCCAGCAGCTCAGCCGGGTGACCCCGAGCACCCCCCAATGCCATCCCCGTCCCCACGCACACAAAGGCGACACCGGCCAYGGCCACGCGGGCTCGGCCGTCCCCGGGCAGCGGGATAAAGACACCCCCGCGCGCAGCTCCGGAGCGGCCGGGAGCACCGGCACGGGGGGAGATACCTGCTCAGTGGGCGCTCCGGGTGGCATCGCCCTGCCCGGCGGGTCCCGGCGCAGCGGGGCCCGTGTCGGAGCCGGGCGCTCGGGCGGCAGCTCCGGCTTCTCCGCAGGGTCGCGCGCCCGGGGCCGACCGGGCCCGCGGAGCCGGTCCTGCTCTGCAGCGGGAACAAAGGCGAGGGCTGGAGCGGGAGCGCGGGAGGGAAACCGGGCGGGGGGGCCGGGGGGAACATTAAAGCTCGGCCCCCGAAGCGACAGGGGAGGGCAGGGCCGAGCCGGGCCCCGGGCACCGCGGGCGCCGTGCGGGGGCGAAAAGGGGCACGGGGATTGCGGAGGGGCAGCCCCGTGGGGCTACGGACACGGGCACCGGCCACCCCGACTGCCCCAAAGGAGCCCGTGGGGTCCCCGGGGGTGCGCGAGGGCTCCGGGGGGTCCCGGCAGGTGGGGAGCAGCGCTGTGCAGAGCCCCTCGTGCCCAGGGGAGAAGGGGCCAAGGAGCCCCCCGGAGGGCAGCGGGGTCAGCCCCGCGCGGCCCGGGGAGGCCGCCGCGTCCCGCAGGGGCTCGGGCCCCTCGCCCGCCTCGCCCGGGGCCGAACGAGCCGGCGCTGGGCGCAGGGAGAGCCCCGAGCGGGGCGGGGAGCAGCAGCCGGCGGGACCGCGCGCGCCGGGAACCCCACGGGAGCCACGGGAGCCACGGGAGCCCGCGGTGCTGCGGGCAGGTGCGGGAGCCGGGCGGCGCTGCCGGGCTCAGCTGCAGCCGGGAGGGCTCCGCTCCGCTCCGCTCCGCGCGGCGCGGGGACACGCGTGGATGGGCGGGCGGCCACGCGAGCCGAGGGGCGAGTGCTCAGCCCGGCGGCGGCGGCCCCGTCCCGGTGCCGCCCGGCAGCTCCGCGCGACCCGCCCGAGCCGCGGGG